CAGTACTCTTGGTGCGAAAATGATGAGCTTGGCTTTTTATCATGTACTTTTGAGCTTCGTCCTGGTGTTATCAGAAATCAGTACTTTAGACCAAGAAAAACTATCTGCGTAAGTAAAACAATTGATTTGATAAGGTTATTTTATCGAAAAGTGTTTGAAAATGTGAGCAAACTGTTAGAAATCTTCGCAAAAACTTTGAGGAAGAAAAGTTTGCACTTGAAACTGACTTTTTTTTTGATGCTTGAAAGAAAAAWTGTCTTTCTATCTTTCAAGCGTTTTTAGCATATTGAGTTGTATCATCCTATTTATTGAGAATAACACACAAACTCGAAGAAAATGTATTGTAGTGTAGGGACACGGCCTTGAATTCGCGCCTCTACTCTGGAAGCAAACTTTTTGTTATATCTAAAATCATGATCAAAAATTCACGATTTCTCTAGTTTAAAGTGAGTTTTCATTTCACTCAAAAAGTAACTACAATTAGGCGATATTTTCACTCTATTTTGTGAAGTTCAAAGCTCATAAATCTAACTAAATGGACCTGATTTGAACTTGCTTGATAAACTAAAACAAATATAGTTTCTGTTGAAATAAAAACAATTTTGAAATGATACGCAGTAAGTAATTGAAACAAATTGTTTAAGTTGATAAAAGAAACTTTGTTGACACAATTTTTATGAGCAAAAAAACTTCCGTCTTTATTTATAGCTGGTGTTTGGTAAGTTCAAGTGTTGTTTGATAAATCTTTGGTTACTGGTTACTGGGTTTTTCACTTTGCAATGCTGGGAAACAAAGCATTAATCCGCATTTCTATTCGGACAAGAAAAAATCTGAACGTATTGTTACCTCGTCTATCCTCGCACCGCAATATCACGGACGCAAGATGATTACGGAATGATTCTATTCCTGTGTCAACTTGCATTTGTTCTTGCGTCTCCGTCGTGTTTGTCTACATTTGTGTTGCGTTTACGTCTGTGTTGATACTTACGCTGACTTGCGTTGCTATTAGAGAGGTTTAGCATGACGTTCACGGCAAACGCCAAACGGCAGAAAAGATCACGTGACCTGCTTTTTTTGAGTTTAACGCTGCAGTTTCAACGTGAGAGCGGGTTATTTTGAGGTTGCCATAATCGTGAAAAGCCGCTCTTTCAAATGACTACCAAAATCACAAGGTCGGGAACGAAATTCTTTGGTCATTGGTTCAGCTCTGCCGTTAGCCGTTTCGGGCGTCAACGTGATGCTTAAACTCTCTATTAAGAAGTAACCGTTTAACGTGAAATGCAAAACTTGACTTGTTGTTTTTATTGAAGTTCTTTTGAATTTTAAAAAGAKATGTTTGGTACATGCGAAGTTACAGCAATGACACTAGCTAGACGCATCGCACACTCTTGTATTTCGACATGTTCTTGCCGTCATTTCAAGCGTAATGCCACTTCAACGTAAATGATACTCTTAAAACATTTATCACGAAACTTCCTCTTTAAATTTGTCAGGATATCTTTATGTAAACGGATTTAGAACTTCCTTTTAGATGACACTCCAAACTGTAAATAAAGTCTTATTCAACGATTGACTTTCAGTAAGTTATCGAAAATGTTTTTGTAAATTAACTAATTCATCATCATCATCACTATCTTTTCTCTTGATCTACAAGCTGCATAAGGTTATTGCGTCTCGAATTCCGTCTGTCCGTAGCTCGCTAACTCTCTAGCTACTATGGATACCACGGGAACTGGAGGATGTGCTTAAAAGTCTTATGCTCCTCTTGGTGGGAGGAGAAAAGTTGACTCGCTTTTTGAAAATCTTACCATGCACCGATTTATTTTGGGACCAGTAATAAACCTATGCTCAACGTTTTGTTTGGCATAATATTTAGCTCGGCCATCAACGCAATGGAAATCACATTTTGTCAAATATCTAAAAAATTTGATCCAGAAAAGCGGTAGACATCATCATAACTTCAACCATTGCAAAACGTTTTAGAATAGTTGAAAACAAATTCCAGTCATCTGTTCGATTTCGCCGAGTAATATGCAATTTTTACTCTATCGGATGTGCGTTAACTATTCCATTTTGCAGCGTATTGCGTCCTCACTGCATCTCGAAAACAAGTGCAGGGCACTGTAGTTTCTAGTTTGGATTTCAAAAACATTTCTTTTCCGAAAGAAAAAATACAACTTCTACTTCGAAAAGAAGGCAACAAACTTAAAACCGTTTGTCATTCATTGATGATTGAACAATGCCGGCTAGGAATGTTTCATCCAAMATTTTAATCCACCGGTCTTTTCATTTTAGACTTGATGACCTAGAGAAATCATTASAGAACCAGCAATCAAATAACAGATCTCACGTGTGCTCGTATCAAGAACCACACAAACAATGGCAAGTAAAGACAGTCTTCAGACCAGTACTGACGCCGTATCGAACGCCATGTTTAAAAAGAAAAAGGCTTTCTTCAARAACGCGGAAGTTCTGCTTTCGTTACAGGTCGGTTAATTATAGTAACATTAGTAATGCCACAAATATGTGCAAGTTTATATCCTGTATCATAAACACCTGTTTAAACAGATTTTTTTCACGTCCCAATGGCGATGTTGGTGTACATCAGACATAAGGTTTCTCATTACCTTCCGCATTGTATTGTACACCAACATGGCTGCCGTAYACAGGCTTTTGCAAAAAATCTGTAAAATGAAAAATATATAAGTATGCGTTGTGGGTAATTTCGATTGAAAAAGTAGCTATTTAAAACTCACTTTGAATTAAAGAGCGAAACATATTATAATATATCTTATTATTCAAATACCAATTGGGTCGAATATCAAGAATAATTTCGCAATTACCAAAATGTTAGTACCATGAAAATTACTATGATGTACATATTGGGATTTCTAAMTATTTTTACAGAATTTATGCAAAACGCTTTATGTTGTTCCGTATTTTTCAAAGGATATATTCCTGATCGTGTGAGTGTGAAAAAGTGTTTTTCATTCATTGAATTAAATAACCGAAACCTTGTGCTAAATTAACTTCTTCCCTTAGACGGTCTAACGGATATATTTTTACTTTAGGAATAACCGATGTATATTTTGTATTGTAGACTAGAATTCAAACCAGTAAAAAGAGGAACCATCAAAACAGTTTTTCGAATTAGAAAAAGGTGCTGCAAAGGATGGAAAGGCAAACTATGTGCAGAAAGTAAGAAACAATAGCTGATACACTGAGATCTTTCTTGAGTGATCCGCTCTTTGATAAACTTTATTTTATTTTACTATTCATTTGTAAAATGTTTAGATGCTAAAGGCCTATCAAGCATTTCCTTATGTAAGCGTCAGCGTCCCATATATTTTTTATATTGCACACTGACGTCACGCATATCATGCAAAGTCTAAGTTTATGCACCCAGTAAACTTTAACATTTGTAAATAAACCAACACATGAAATAAAATGTAATACGTACAAACAAAGAGAAAGAAATGACAAACAAAGAGAAAGAAATATTTTTGATTTTATTTCTTTTTATTACGCCGTGTATTTTTATCAACAGGAAGCGATGCCAACATCTTACAACAAAGAGAGATACGTCAATCAAAACCTGGTCAGTGTCCAGATATTGCCACCACGAACCAATACAATAGCAGCTGTAACAGTGAATGTAACAATGATTTTGACTGTCCGTCGTCCATGAAATGTTGTCCTWYRTCRTGTGGCGGTAAAAAGTGTSTTGTTCCGTCKAGACGACGWAACGATAGTGACAGTGTCGGTAAGTGTAATGTTATTCAGGAAAAYCAGTAGAGYCGACSCGCTTAATACGTGAAGGTTAAATAGTACAACTTTGTACTAAATCTACAATTGTAAAGGAATGTTTTTTGAATCACTATTGTTTTTAAGACAGCGTTTACTAAATTGTACAGAATAGCACAAAGAGGTTCGTACAATATTATGAATTAAGTGTGTTTACTGTACTAAGATTCCAGGTTATATTCCACGAAARGAGCAGACKCGTTAGAAGACGCGCGCAAGCGATTATGGTTGACGACAATTCTTTAAGCAAAAAGACAGCAAATGAAAAACAACAACAACAARTAACACCAAGACGCATACAAACCTACGAACAAATATCAATAAATAAACAAGCAATCTGCTTAAATCATATTAATAAGTAATACCATGAAGGAAAAGAGAAAACTGTTACACTTGTGCTATATTGTGATATGTTTATTTGCCTTGTAGTTACATGCAATCCATCTTGTGCAAATGGTGGCAAATGTGTGGCTAAGAATGTCTGTTCTTGTCCCGAAAACTACTCGGGAACATTCTGTCAATATGGTAAAAAACACTCTTTGCTGCCTTGTCTTGTCCTATGTTGTTGTTGCCTCTGTCATTCTTGATGTTGTCGTAAAAGAATAGTGACTATTTAGTGACTGTTTTTGTTTTCGTTTCTAGCAATGGTTAGGGTCGCCAGTAGATCAATCGTAATGGACAGTGGTGAGTAGACGTGGTCACTGCACCTTCTTCTTCAGTTCTTCTTCTCATTCTTCTTCTTCTTCCTCTTCTATATTTTCTTTTTAGTTTTCACTATATCGTCTTCAACAACGTCACTCCACCTGAGTTCTTGTCTATTAGCTCGTCTCTTACAACCCCAATGTAATGGCCTCTAATGATTACTGATTCATAATCATTCACTCTATTTATTAATTAATAAATCCAATCATTGATTAATAAATATATTCATTAATCCACCCATTCATTCCATCAATTTGTTATGTTCATCTATTCAATCAATCATTCATTCCGTTTAGAAGCCTTGTCAAAGTTAAACGAGCCTGATCTCTGTTACACGTGGCGTTCTCATTACCACACATTTGACGGTCGATATTTCTACTTCCCYGGTCGTTGTACGTACAAACTGCTACATGACTGCTTTGACAACATGTTCTCAGTTCAYGTCTACWAYGACCCGTCATGTAGCAGAAACAACACSTCGTGCAGACGTGGCGTGGASCTGTWTCTTAGTGGTACACAAATCAAGGTGATAATAATATACGAAAGCTTTGAGAACATAGCACGTTTTGCTATCGTTAAGAAAGAAAGGGAGCGTTGTTTTACAATGTCAAAGTTTGCTCTATTGACCTGTGTAGATTTGATCCCGGTACCGCAATATCTATCTTGAGGTATATAGACCTCGAAACCAATATGGCGGCCATATTGAATTCTATTGTTTACAGTAAACATTATGGAATAATGAAAAATGTACAGACTGTGTGGCATTGGGAGTGTTGTGAGGATCAATATAGACAATATAGTATCATAAAATGTAAAAAAATAACACACTTTCAACCAATAATCCAATTGCTGAAGCAATAAATCATCAGGAAAAAAATGCTAAAGTTTTATACAGGAGTGCGTGCTTTGCTCACATGATATCCTTTTTTTAGTTTTAATTTTAATTAATAAATTCAAAATTCAAAATTCAAAATGGCGGCCGTATATGTGATGTAAGTTTCAATCTCAGTTTTGTTTGGGTTCGGAGTTTTGGATTCTTTCACAAGTATTTGCCTAGTCTTTGGCCATGACTATTCTACCCTGCTTTGTAATAATTTTGACACACTGCCATCACGTATGGGTTTTCTTGGTTTGTTAATTTAGTTTTCCTTTCTACATTAAAAGGTCCATCTTGACGCTAAACACGTTGAGGTCAACAACAGAAATATCACTACTCCTCACGTCATCAATAATATTATCATCGAGAGGGTTTCAGATTACCTTATTATTTATGGGTACAGCGGTCTTACGGTATTATGGGATGGTCAAGATGGCGTCTATATTCACCTGGAYCGTGATCACGTGAACACCACGTGTGGTCTTTGCGGCAACTACAATGGCCGTTCAGATGAYGATTTAGTGACTGTTAACGGACAGAAGACGAGCTCAGTCGCTTTGTTTGGGAACAGTTGGCGCATGAATAAAGTCAATGATTTTTGTCCTGATGTTTTGGATAAAGACACGCGACYCTCGTGCCCAGTCTTTGTCAAACAAGTTGTCAAAAAGGTTAGATTTATCTTTAGTGTTATCGACATCAATCAATCAGGCAATCAATCAATCATTTAACTAGGAAATCTATCAATCAATCAATCAACCAGGAAATCAATCAGTCAATCAGCCAGGAAATCAATCAATCAATCGATCAATCAATCAATTAATCTGATTCAAGTCGATCAATCAATGAACAAGTCAGTCAGTCAATCATGATATAGAAATAAAGGAAAGTTATAGTGCTAGGAAGGAGGTTATTCCAGGAGAACAAGTCAGTCAATCGACCATCAATCAGTTAAACAATCAATCAATTGTCAACCAAACAACCGATAAGTCTTTTAACTCATCAATCAATTTACTAACCTGGCAATCAATAGATTACAATTAACTTGCTTATTAACATGATGTTTAGGGACAAAAGAGTTGCGATGTTCTTAAAAATCCCTTTATCTTTGGGCGCTGTCATAATAAAGTCAACCCAGCACCATACATTGCTATGTGTCAACATGAGGTCTGCCGATGTACAGCGAAAAACACCCAAACATGCCTTTGCGATGCATTAACTCAATACTCGCGAGCATGCTCGAGAAATGGTGTACCAGTGCAATGGAGAACAGAGTATCTGTGCCGTAAGTAATGTTGACTATCGCATCTCTCAGCACTATACTCAGTTTCTTTGTTCCTGCTTTCGCAGCACCCGCATATCAACATATTTTCATCTTTTATTTTTCTTTTCGCAGCTGCAAACTGTTCCAGCGGTTTTACGCACACTGAGTGTGCGTCACCTTGCCAAAGAACATGCCAATTAAGATCCCGTAACTACGTYTGTCCGCAGCGGTGCATTGACGGTTGTACATGCGCAGACGGGATGTTGTTAGATGGTGAGAATTGTGTCAAGAAGCATCAATGTCCATGTGAACATCACAAGAAACGATTTCCAGCTGGTGYCATTCTATCACGTGACTGTAATAAATGGTAAGCTATTTATAGCATAACAGTAGATAGTCAATCGTTATAACGTCATGTTCTAGCGAAGTGCATCATGGTATTGATGAAAATATCAAATTTACTATGTCCAAAACACCATACAGTCAAAACTATACGTAATGCTTGCTGTTCGCTAAACAACCCTACACACAATGCCGCGCTTTAGGTTTCTACAAACAAAGTGTACAAAGGCAGGGTTACCTTTCAAGATGGCGCAGGGACCCATGAAGGAGCGACTATTATAAATATCAAGACTTTGCGATGTATTGATCTGATGTATGTTTGCTTGTTCTAAACAGTGTTTGTAGTGACGGTAGATGGAATTGTACAAAACACCACTGTCAAGGTAATAATAAATATCGCATCTGCTAAGATTTCATGATAGTACATGGCTAATACGGCATGTTACTCGTCTCCCTCGCAGCCGTTATCAATGACATAGCGTGTCTGACCGGCTGTGAACGAGACTATAACCGACAAGATCAAATATGACTTGATACTCTGTAGTTTGCTTTTATTTACATTTTTACTCCTGTACGATACGCAATGATTTTAACCATACAATTATGACTTAAAATACTGTGTCTTTTCTCGTAGGTACCTGCTCATCTACCGGGGATCCACACTACCGGACATTTGATGGACTRACTTACTCATTTATGGGACGATGCAGATATATTCTTGCTAAAGACCGCCATAACGATACTTTTACAGTAGTTGCAGACAACACGGCTTGTGGACCTGTTGGTTCGATGTCTTGTAAACACATCGATGTGCACTTGAATGGATTGGTTGTTACTATGGCAACCAATGGTGTGATAACTGTGAAGGGCTTGAAAGTGACGTCATTTCCACATATTGGTCAAGGTAGGAAATAGTGTAGTCGTTTCAAAGCGAGGAAAATGTGGRAAGGAGAGGGATTAGTAGGATCGAAAAGAGAAGGGAGGACAAGAGAAGAAAATATACAAAATATATGGAGAAGAAACTGAGAGAAGAACTTCAAAGAGAGGATTTCATGTAAGAAGAGGGAAGAGAGGAGAWTTCGAAATTCTAAAGAAATTGTTGTGATTTGGTTTTGTCTGGGACTTGGGATCGGAACTTACTGCAAATCAACAAATAGGTGAACGTATTTACAAAAGGTTACGCCTCTAAGACCGCATTTGAGTCAAGTGAATTACGTAAGGCGTTTTACCCAGTGGTTAACTAATAATATYCACCCGTGTTCAGGGTTCATCATCAGGCGTCCGTCAACAGTCGTCACAAGACTCGAAGCARCCATAGGTCTAACAGTAGAAAGGCGTGGCACATCACGTGTTTACATAACTGTACAACCAAAGTATCGCAGCCAAACGTGCGGACTTTGTGGAACTTTTAACAACAATCAAAATGATGACCTAATGACCAGTGAGAATGTGCAGGAAAGTGATATAATGTTGTTTGGTAAATCGTGGAAAATTTCTGGTTCGTGTAATGATACAAACTCTAAAGTCCAACACACGTGTGATGTACAAATACAAAGGAAAGCGTTTGCTGATAAAGCTTGTAACAAATTACTGCAGGTAGGTTATGGCAGTTTTTTTTTTTGTCAAGGCCTAATTCATGGTTAACAAGCTGAATATATACGGACGATTTGCGACTGGAAGTTTGAAGAAAAAAACTTGCAACTCTCAAATAATATTCCAGGTTTTTTTTGATTACATCGTTATTTACATACAAGTAGACAGGATAGATGCAAGCTTGAAACACTGCTAGATAACTTCATTATGTAATTGTTGTATTTGTAGTTTGTATTACGCTGTGCCAACAACCGACTTTAGTCGAACCCGCACTAAAAAACTTTGATTAWATTTCGATCATAGGCTCCTTTTAGCCGTTGCCATGACACCATTGACCCCCAGGACGGTTACCTTGACAACTGCAGATTTGATGTATGTGGTTGCCAGAATGCAACAAAGTGTCTTTGTGAGGCTGTGGCTAACTACGTCTATCAGTGTGCTAAGAGAGGTATCATCATTGATTGGACCGGTTCAAAAGTACTGCCAGAATGTGGTRAGYTTTGTTCAGTTSTWTRRTTTGACGTCCATCWTATATTTACTCAATAAAAACTTGAATTCATTTATCATTGTCTTRAAACTAGCCACCACATGTACCAACAAGGGACAGATTTACAAAGCATGCGGACCATTATGCAACACGACTTGTCGTGAGCTTTCAATGAACAACGTTTGTCATGAAGAATGTATTGAAGGATGTAGCTGTTCTAACGGCACGGTCCTTAATGATAATCACCAGTGCGTACCACATCGRTTATGCCCCTGTTACTATCGTGAGAAAACGTACGCCCCTGGATCTATTATCAATCCTACAGGCTGCAGTCAGTGGTAAGTTGTTGTCAAATTAATTCCAGCGGAGACGTTTATACGCCCAAATATATGGATGTCCCTCCCGGTATCCAATATTTTATGTGCTAGTATTTACGAGTATAATATACACCTACTTGCAGAAACGTTGTCATAGAAAATAGAACATTTGAATTTAGTAAAAAGGAATAAAGTAAAGCAAGACAAAAGGAAGCGTTCAGCCTCAGTGATCTTCTTTTGTCTTTTCAATTTATTCCTTTTTACTAAATACAAATTTCCTATTTTTTATGACAACGTTTTCGCAAGTAGGTGTATAGATCATACTTATTTAGAATTCAAAAAAGACTCCGATATTGAACTCAAAGCAATGTACATCTATTCAAACAGATTTTATATTTTTTCTCTTTAGTCGCTGTCAGAATGGAAAGTTTCACTGTTCAAACAGGACTTGTGAAGGTGAGCGGGTTCTTTACCATCACTAATAATAAGTTGATTATCATAGACGCTTTCACAGTCTTCTGCTCGGCTTTTGGTCTTTTCGTTGTGAGAAAGGAGATGTAGAATGCTCGAGAGGCGTTTCTGGATCGGAATTATGTCCCATATTGCTTTGCGAAACCAAGTGCGGGTTCGAATTCCTATGGTGAGATTTCAACACCAAAAAATGCTCAAATAAATCAATTAAGGATTTGCACAAGAACGTCCTTTTACTGCAACTGCCATTATTCCCTGTAACATATGACGTTATCATTCATGCAAAGCCTTCTTTTAATGTCACTGACCTTTATCTATAGTTTGTCCGTCTGGACAGCAATGGGTTTCCTGTGGAGCACAATGCGCGAAGACTTGTGATAATTTCCATGTACCTTGTCTTGATAACAAATGCCGCAAAGGATGTGTGTGCCCGCAAGGACTCGTATATGATGGAAAGCGGTGTGTTAATTCCTCACAATGTTTGTGTCATCATGGTGGCAAGAATTACAAGCCTGGCTCTGTCATTAAAGTGGATTGTAATCATTGGTAAGAAGTGACATTTCGTTGCACAAACTTCATTTCATATTCGGTTTTGTAGTTGCAAATTTATGATATTGACTTTTGTTGATTCTAACTCTACTTCCCGAACGATTTAARAGGAAATTTCATATCTTGATTGACTACTTTTTATCTTTTTAACSGTGTTCTTTTATGTCATTGGGACTTTTCGGCGAAAACACAAAATCTGCAGCAACTATTCAATAGGACTGTGTTTGATACCAGCATTATTTTGATATCAATGTTACTTTTGTTTCAGCGTTTGTAATGGTTCTCAATGGACATGTTCAAAACTTCAATGTCCTGGCACGTGTTCAATATATGGTGAATCTAACTACGTCAGTTTTGATGGGAAGAGATTCAAATATGCAGGAGCATGTGAATACGTTATTTCATCAGACTTCTGTGAGGGTCGTAATGGRTCCTTTAGAATACAGTCCCTAAACGTCCCTTGTAGTCCCTCTGGAACTACGTGTTCCAAAAAAGTGACCCTTACAATCGGAGACACTGTTATAGTATTTGCGCGTGGAGTAAAACCTGAAGTGAAGCCGTTGCCAGGAGCAAAAAAATACACCACGTGGTTTAGAGTTAGCGAAGTGCATTTTTTTACTGTGTTGGAAACGAAGTTTGGTTTAACGGTCATGTGGGACAGAGGTACTCGACTGTATGTTACAGTGGATTCTAGATTTCAAGGTAAAGATGAATTTAATAGTTCACGTACGCCTTTCAAAGATGATTTATCTCATGACACAAGTGTTATACTTTAAAAAGAAAACAAAATATGATGTTTTAAAAAAGAATATTTTATGATAGGTAGGACTTGTGGCTTGTGTGGTAACTTCAATGGTGATCGAGCCGATGACTTCATGACTCCCCAGATGTTACCAGAAGCCCTTGCAAACGTATTTGGAGATAGTTGGAAAACAGACTCATCATGCCCTGATGCAGAACTTCCCAAGAATCCTTGCGAGACAAACAAGAATCGARTACCGTGGGCTCATAAAATGTGCAATGTAATGAAGAGAAATGTTTTTCGACCATGTCATGGTGTGGTAAGATGGTTTGTTAACTGTTTTTATATCTCTACGAAATAAAGTTAACATGCATTTAAAGAGTAGATCAGGGATTATTGATCTTAGTAGCTAAAGTTGTATATGAGATGTCTCCTTGGGCCTCATTGTATTCCTCTATCCATAGGTAGATCCTGGACCATGGTACGATTCATGCTATTATGATACTTGTGGCTGTGATGCTGGAGGTGACTGCGAGTGTTTRTGTACAGCGATTGCTGCATATGCACATGCGTGCAACAGCCATGGTGTTGCGATTAAATGGAGAAGTCAACAACTTTGTCGTAAGTACACCCCCTGATAGAGTGTTGTGCCTAAAGGTCTACAATCACTTACTGATGCATATGTCTTTGTAGCTATACAGTGTCCACATGAACAGAACAGCTGCTCTGAATACAAYCCATGCGTTTCAGTCTGTCCAGAAAGATGCGGGTCATCTTGTGCCTCATCAAAGTCGTTTTGTCCTGTTACTTGCATTGAAGGATGTTCTTGTCGAAATGGGACCATCCTTCACGGAGAAAAGTGTATCAAACCAGACCACTGTCCATGCGAAGTCGATGGCAAATTGCATTCGCCTGGATCCATTGTAATCAAAGATTGTCAAAAATGGTAGTGTTATTATTATTTTAGTAAATATTTCCCAGTCACTTTCTTTTATAATAAATCAACGGCTCGATTCTTCCATGAGAGAATTACCTAACAGTTCTGGAAATGCTAGATCCCGATACACTTTCCACAATTTATTATTAATAACTGTGACTAAAAAACTCTCAAAATTTGTTTTCAGCAAGTGTACGGATGGTTGCTTGACATGTGTGGGTCCAACATGTTCTATTTCCACATCTCCAACAGTCAGTACAACGTTACTACCAACTGTATTCAACAAAACTACACCATTACCTGGTACTACTACCATGGTACAACCATCTACAGAAGGACCTTCCACTACACCATTACCTGGTACAACTACCATGGTACAACCATCTACTGAAGGAACTTCCACCACACCATTACCTAGTACTACCACTACCATAGTACGGCCATCTAGTGAAGGAACGTCTACTACACCATTACCTGGCACTACTACCATGGTAAGACCATTCACTGAAAGTACATCGGGCCATGGAGGTCAAATTATGCCTTCAACAACAAATACAGAAGAAACCAGACCTCCGCCTGCACAAACGTTCACGCCTTCAGCAACGGTTTCTAAGCAGTCTCCTGTGCAAACGTCAGAAGGAATCGCACCTACTTCAACTGTCGGCAGTGCTTCAACAATGACAAGCACGCATATTGAAAGCAGCACGGCACAGAGTAAAACAAGCATTATTCCACTTTATTCAACAACGATGGAAACGTCTACAAGTCATGTCTCTAATACAAACANCATCATTAACTGGCAGTACAATCATGGTAAAACCATCTACTAAAGAGGACAACACTACACAATTACCTAGTACCACTACCATGGTACAACCAACTTCTGAAGGAAATTCCACTTCACCATTAACTGGTAGTACAACTATGGTACAACCATCCACTGAAGGGGCTACCACTACACCATTACCTGGTACTACTACCATGGTAGAACCATCTACTGAAGGAACTTCCACCACACCATTACCTAGTACTACCACTACCATAGTACGGCCATCTAGTGAAGGAACGTCTACTACACCATTACCTGGCACTACTACCATGGTAAGACCATTCACTGAAAGTACATCGGGCCATGGAGGTCAAATTATGCCTTCAACAACAAATACAGAAGAAACCAGACCTCCGCCTGCACAAACGTTCACGCCTTCAGCAACGGTTTCTAAGCAGTCTCCTGTGCAAACGTCAGAAGGAATCGCACCTACTTCAACTGTCGGCAGTGCTTCAACAATGACAAGCACGCATATTGAAAGCAGCACGGCACAGAGTAAAACAAGCATTATTCCACTTTATTCAACAACGATGGAAACGTCTACAAGTCATGTCTCTAATACAAACACCATTCTTCCCACTACTATGAAACCATCTGACCCAGTTTCTGCAACGGCTTCTATTCGTCCTACAAAAACTACTTTTAGCAAAGAGACTTTGAAAACATTTTTCTCKCCAACAGTGACGTTTAGAACGTGCTCGYCATGTGGGAGCAGGAATTTTCGATGTCTTCGCGGATGTGATTGCTTTCCAAGAAGTTGGCTCTGCGATGGAAATCCTGATTGTGATGATGGCTCTGATGAGACTGGCTGYCCAACATCTCAAAGTTCTTCACCACAAGCATCCACCTCACCATCCTCACCTCTATCATCAACGATAGCGACATATACCACAARAGCGACAGTTTCGCAAACAACATCAATGCCTCAGGTATCACTATGCGAGGGAAACAAAGTGTTTACTTCATGTTTGCCTCATTGCGAAGAAACTTGTCATTACATGAACAAAACATGCAGAAGTRATTCCTTAAATGTGGGCTGCAWTCAGGGTTGTCGGTGTCCCGAGGGAACTGTATTCAATGGGACTCACTGCACAAGGTCKTTTGACTGTATGTGCTTGCATAACGGTAGTTTTTACGAGCCTGGATCATCTTGGCAAAGTGGGTGCAAAACATGTTTTTGCTGGAACAATACWGTGCTATGCCAGAATAAAACATGTCCCGTCACACCTCAAAGATGTCAATCTTTGAAGTTAATTCCTGGCAAGTGCTGTCCTGTKTGTACCAGAGGAAATGAGACTTCTGGAAGTAAGCYTTGTCCACCATCTTGTGTCAAGTGCAAGAATGGGGAATGTATATCCAAGAACTGGGTTTGCGATGGAGAAAAAGACTGCAAAGAAGGCGAGGATGAACGRAACTGTACTGCCAAAGCTTGCGCATTTCCACTGGGTAAGAAAACATTACAAATGAATTTTTATTAAAATAGTAACTCATCAAACCAAAAGCCCAAAGAAAGAGATCTTTCTGTTAATTACGTAGCGTTGTTTTTGGTACAAATAATGTGTGGGAATGATCATGACTAAAGAAACTCGCGTTCGATCCTCATACACTTAGTTATTCCAGGAAGAGAAATATATGCCATTAGTTTTAGATTCCGAATGGTAAAAGATCGCCAATCCCCATATTGTAGTCTGCGCTTATTTTACCAATCACTTCACACAGTGGAACCCCGGCCTTACGACCGACCGCTTTATACAGCCTCTCCGTTATAGCGACCACGGCCGTATTTTTATGTCCCGGCCTATTAAACCCCCATCTTTTCAATTCCTGCCCAGTAAAAACGACCACCTCATTAAAACGGGCACTTTTCGATGTCGTTTCGGTGGTCGGATTAACGAGGTTCTATTTTGGTAACTTCAATTCACAGGAGTAGCACGCTTCAGTTCACGTCTTTCTGCGTCATCTTATCTATCGCCCTTGTATAAGCCATCYGAAGGACGCTTAAATAATAAGCCAAATGTTGGTTTGTACGGCGGCAGTTGGTGCAGTAATCCTTACAATGATTCCAGACCTTATATCCAAGTTGACCTCGGATCGCTTGATACCATAACCAAAGTCGTGACCCAAGGTCATCCCGCATTGCATTACTGGGTATCTCAGTACAAGGTATTATACAGCGATAATGGCGTCAACTGGGAAAAGATTATATTCAACGATGAGGAACAAGTAAGTTAGATTATAAAAGAAGGAGTATAAGATATAAGGATTGATTCTACAATAATCCTATGTTTCAGGTTCATTTTTGTTGTTATTAATGCTGTTGTTGTTTTTGCATTGACATCGTGACCACGTCTTGCTTCGGTCATGAATTTAGTTCTGCCACGTCGTTTTATCTTTCTTTCTTTTTTCAGTCAAGAAAAAATAATGTATGTAACTAAGATAATGTATATTTATCATATAATTATCTATGAAATGCCTATATTTCTTCATTTCGTAAACTTGATATGTTCACTAGTGAAAATAACATGCTATTTACGTACAAATTCATCATCTTTTTGCTTTATTTCTCCCAGGTTTTTAATGCCAATAACATYTCAAAGAATACCACCAGCAACAAACTYCCATATCCAATAACAACTCGATACATCCGAATCAARCCAATCAGATGGAAGAACATTCCGTGCATGCGCATTGAACTTTATGGCTGCAACTCCACTAAGGCTACGKTACCACCAGTTACAGACCCAACGAAATATTGCCCAGAGTTCAGGTAGCATTCAAAGGAGCATTTTTACAGATTCCATTTTGACCCCACCATCATAAGTGCCTATTATTGATCTCTTCTAATCAGTAATAATACTATGAAAAAATTGTCACTATGACGTTTATATTTTCTTTGTTCAATTTTACTGTGAATTTTACGATGATTAAGCGATCAAAGGGACCAAGGGAAAGACCAGGTGACTGCTTTATAGAGGTTGACCGTTTAATAGAGGTCATATGAAAATCGTTTAATAGAGGTCATATGAAAATCGTTTAATAGAGGTCATATTGGGAATATGGCCAGTGACCGCTTAATGGAGGGTGACTGGTAGTTAGAGGGCCGTCTAATAGACTTTCAGCTGTATTAAAGTCTTCAATGGATTGATTTTCCTTTAGTTCTTCCTTCATTTAATTCATCCATTTCTTTTTTCATTTTGTTCTTTCTTTGCAGCTGTGACAATGGTAGATGTGTACCGTATCGATGGGTGTGTGATGGTGGTGATGATTGTGGCGATAGGTCGGACGAGCGTTGTAACGTAACGTGTACGTCCAGTCAGTTTACGTGCACTAATGGTAAATGCATTGACAGCGGTTTAATCTGCGATGGCGATGACGACTGTGGAGATCGATCGGACGAAGCATCATGTCAAAACGTCACTTGTGCTGAGTTTACGTGTGGCAATAGACTTTGCATACCATTTAAGTAAGTTTTTTTTGGGAATAGTGTCTACAGTGGGGCTGTCACAAGTCAGATTCTCTTGGGATTCATAAAATAATGAAAAAAATTGGAAAAGAAGAAGAATTTATCATATTATAATGATGATAGCCTTTTTCAAATCCTCCGTCTGTGCCGCTCGCCAAGAAGCACAAGGCACTTTTGCAATCGTGCGATTGAATTTTCTAAAATATTACAATCTAGTTCAAAGTTTATTTTGTCTTTGTCGTTAGGTATCTGTGCGATGGTTCGCCCGATTGCAGCAAAGGCGAAGATGAAGATCAAAACTGCCCAACTCACGAGCCCAATGTGACTTCACCTACCTCGTGCCCAGGCTTTCTCTGTAAAGACGGTTCATGCATTCCTAAAGAATACCACTGTGATCACTATAAAGACTGTCCATGGGGCGAAGATGAACTAAGATGTCCATGTAAGAACATCAGTGAATGGCAGTGCYCAGAAAGCGGGAATTGCATTCGCAAGGAATACGTGTGTGATGTTTATGTCGATTGTCCAGATGGTGAAGACGAACAGGACTGTCCTACTACTCAGGGTACCGTTATACCGACCACCTCTACAGGAAAAGAAACTGTAATAACCACGGATACTGCTAGTACACATATGTCATCTCTTACTGGCGAAACATCACCAATAACTGGGACATCAAAAACGACATTAGCATCAACAACAACACTACCGGCAGCAGCAACAACGACAGAGAAAACACCAGCAGTAACAACAACAACGACGACGACGACAGAGACAACAACAACACCACAAGCAACAGCAACAACACTACCGCCAGCAGCAACAACGGCAGAGACAACACCAGTAGTAACAACAACAACAACAACGACGATGACGACAGAAACAACAACAACACCACAAGCAACAACAACACTACCGCCAGCAGCAAAAACGTCAGAAACAACAACGACAGCAGCGGCAACAACAACAACGACACCAGGAGTAACAACAATAAGAACGACGACGACGACAGAAACAACAACAACACCACAAGCAACAACAACAACAGCACTACCGCCAGCAGCAAAGACAACAACGACAGCAGCGGCAACAACAACGACAGAGACAACAACGACACCAGGAGTAACAACAGCAACGACGACAGAGACAGCAACAGTAACAACACCACCAGCAGTAACAACAACAGCAACACTACCGCCAGCAGCAACAACGACAGAGACAACAACAGCAGCAGCAACAACAACGACAGAGTCAACAACAGCAACGCCAGTAATAACAACAACTGCAACACCACCGTCAGAAGCAGCAACGACAGAGACAACAACTTCAGCAGCA